ATAATAATAATAATAATAGTTTGTATTTAAACATGATCAGAACTCATTATAATAATATTATACATCAGGCCATGTTTTTGGTGCGTGTGCGCTCGTGTGTGTGTGTGTCTGTGCCCGCGCGCGTATGTGTGTGTGTGTGTGCGTGTGCGCTCGTGTGTGTGTGTGTCTCTGTGTGTGTGTGTGTATAATATATCGACGCCTTTTCCTTCCTTGTATTGACGCTGTCTGTCTGTTGCTTTGTCTCCCCTGCACTATACGACAAGATATTTGTCGACGTGGCTTTATATTCTCAATTTTCAATTCAAATGTTACATTGAATTGTAGCGTAGCGTGGTTCTGTTTGGCAAAGTTAGAGGCAATCGTTGTTTTGTGGTCGGTGGTTGGGGGGTGGGGGTGCTCTGGTGTGGTTTGCTCCTTCTTTCCTATCAAACATCTATCGTCCTTATCTCTCCTTCTTTTTTATGTTAATTGTTACTCTCTTGTAACACCTCTAATCTTCTGGCACTCATATGACCTGATGCAGTTGCGAGCGCCGTAAAACCTCCACAAAAAAGCTGTTTTGTGCATTCCTTTTTGTAGTAGTAGCGTCTGGCAGCCACCTGAGTTTGACAAAAGTAGGATAGCCGTTACTCGGAGAAGAGTGGCCGGTGGGTGATCCTACGTGCAGAGCCAATGTCGCTTATTCATTATCACAGCCCTAATAACTTGCATTATAAATTTGTTTGTTCCTTAACTGTAGTGCCAGGTCGCTACCTCAGAGTTACGAAGTTCTATCTGCTCAGTGCCTAGGTTTGAGAAATTTGACGTCAAAGATTTTGAGTTTTATTTGATGTCAAGCTTTTTCTAAAGTAATTCTTTGAATATCTTGATAATGACTTAATCGAGGGTGTCAAGGATACCTTGAGAAAATATAATATAACAACTGAAAGAGCTGCGGAGCTGGCCTACCATAGAAAACTATCTCCCTTCGACGCTTTAAGGCAACAGGGGATGAAAAAGTAAAAGTAAGTAAGTAGATAGTGACTCCGCTGAATGATCTTAAGATTTTGATAGAGCAGATACAAGATGTGGTTTCTGATCTCATAGGTCTTAGAGACCCAAAACATGTCAGATAGAACTTCGTAATTCTAATATAGCGATGTGGGGTGTACTTGATATATTGGGTTCGATTCCCGGGCAGGTTTATTACATTATTATTGAGTACTGTATGGTCGAAAATTGTCCAAAAGGGCAACCCATGTCGAAAATAAAATAAATAGTTTTCTTAGACAGCTGGGCATCTTTGGCACGTAAGGGGAGAGGG